TTCACTGTACTTGATACTTGGTTTGGTTGTGTGAAAACAAATCTAAAAAGCAGTGATAACAGCTAACCCCGCTGAGTGCCAGTCGTGTGTCTGATACCATTTCCAGCACTTTACACATATGAACTCAACCCTACAAGAGCCTCATAAGATTAAGTTCTGTCACTATCATGCTAGTTCACAGTTGACAGCACAGAGAAAACCAAAAACTCACTGCCATTGAGTTGACTGCGACTCAAAGCCCCCCTAAACAACCAAAAAACCAAACTCACTGCCATTGAACGGATGTCAGTTCCTAGTAACCCTTTGGGACAGAGTAAAACAGCTCTGTGGCTTACTGAGTCTGTGCCTTTCCACGGGCTTCAAAAGCCTCATCTTTCTCCTTCAGAGAGACTGGTGGCTTCGAACTGCTGATCTTGTAGTTAGCAGCCGTGCTTAAGGGGTTTGCCTAATGGCTAGCCTGAGGTGGCACCAGGATGGGTCTCATGCAGTATAACCGCAAGCCAAAGCCTTCATTTACCACAGCTAGCAGAACCTCTTCACCCCAGAAACTCCACAGGAAGAAAAATAGGACCCCTTCCAGTTCATGCATTTCTGTAACTTTTGATTGCAAATTGGGTGATGGTTCATCAGTTTTATATTCAATAATTCATGCATATTTTGTTCCATATCCTTCATTGTAATCCTCTCAATGTAACACCACGTATCCCCCTGCACCCTTCCATTTTTAAATCTTTTCTGATTGAAGAAGTGTAAATTCATTTCCAATGATTTGTGCCTGTTGTATTTTCCATACCCCAGCTCTTTCCATTCATCATCAGTGGGTGCCAGAAAATCCAAAGGGACTTTCCTTTCCTACCCAGTTATTTTGGGTTACTATTTTTGTTCCTTTCCCCTCTGAAGACAGTGGGAATCAGAAACATCCACTGAGATTTCCCAATAACTGGAAAATTTACACTAGGCCTTTATGATTAATGCAAGGTGTATTTTCCAAATGCATGCTCTTAAATCACGGTTCAGATCATAATAGAAGGAAACCTGACCTCTAAGGTGTAGGCACTGCTCTGATGTTGCTCATCCCGGGATGTCCAGGAGTGATTCACATTTGCCCCGTTGCCAAACCATCTCCTATTCAAGTAGTGGACCTCTGGCTCCTCAGTGACTGCGTTTTTTTGTCCTGCCAACATTGCTCCTGCTGTATCAGTGTTCTAACCTCATGGGAAGGGCTGTGGTGAATTTCTGGAAAGTGAATAGGAAGTTGCTTTTATAAAGAGCCTGACACTGAGGGCAGGCAGTGAGACTGTAAGAAGTCTGCACCAGGCAGAAGGCAGAAAGCCAGCTGAGTCCCCGAAAAGACATGGTAAGTCAATTTCTCTTTCATACGGGAAGTGGATGACTTGAAGTGGGTCTAAAGAGGCTATCAGCAGAAATAAGATGCTAGAGGTAAGAAAGCAAGGAATAGCAAGAGTGGTGGAGCTTTATGTTGAGTCGCCTTTTGGAGTTGGCAAGCACTTCAAAAGCTGCTGTCGCTTCTGACCTTCCTCTTAGCCTTGTAAGGCTAAGGCAGTCATTTTCATTTTATAAATGAAGATGTGCCTTACATAGACTAGGGGGTTTACCTAAGGCTGCACTGTTAGGCTTGGAGCTGTGGGATCTGGATTTCTGTCTTCCACTAAATCGACACCCTCCTTCTCTAGGACTGCTATGGTCCTGGTATGGATTAGATGCCGTACGACAAACCTGGGGTTGATGCTCAGCCCTCCTACTTCTTTCTTTGAGACACAGGGGAGGCTGCTGGGACTGATCTGGTGTATACAGGAGATTCCATTTCTGCGATAGGTCTCAATCCTGTTTGCGACTCAGTCGCCTCATCTTTAATGTGGCCACAATAACAGTCTTCTATTCCAGCGTGTCATTGTGAAGGTGAAATTAGATTGCACTGAAAAGATTTTAGATCTTGGCTGAGCCTGGCATGTAGTAAGTGATAAAAAATATTAGCTATTATTCTTATGAGAAAGAGAAAATGTTTATCTGTTGGGCATTCGAAAGTGAGCTGGAAGACCCAGGGAAAACCCATAAAAGACTTGACATTCTTGCCTATGGTAATCGTGATGCTCCAAATCAGACACACATAATTTTGTCACTCCTAGTTTTACTCCCAAGGAGTCCTGGTGGCACAGTGAGTTATGAATTGGGTTGCTAATCAACCCAAAGGTCAGCAGTGTGAAACCACCAGCTCTCTTTCTTTAGGCAAAAAGTGAGGCTTTCTACTCCTTTAATGATTGACAGCCTCAGAAACCAAAAGGACTGTTTGTTCTACATGTCCCATAAAGTCGAACTGACTTGATGGCAAAGAGTTAATTTTACTTCCCAACTTTCTGGGGGGTGGGGGGGGGATCTCACACTGTCACAGGGTCAAAAACCCTGCAGTGAGGGGCCTGGCTGTCCTCTGCTACCTTCTGTGAGATCCCAGCAGCAGAAAGCAGTACTCATGCCTGATTACCCCTCTTCCTTGCTTTACTCTTACATACTTTGCAAATGCTTGAAATGGGGTCTCTATGAATTGGAATTGACTGAATGGCAGTAAGGGGTTTTGGGGTGGTTTTTTTTTAAGTTTGGTGCTGGGGAGAAAAGGGATGAGGATGATGAAGAAAAGAGGAAACAGTCCAAACTTGTCCTAAATTTGAACCGCAATGACATAAGAATGTGGATTCATTTGGTCTTATCTTTTATATGCCATACTTTTCCTGAATTGCCCAACTTAAATGAACAAGCAATTATTACTCTCTTCCTTTGAGCCTGCCCTTGGGGTCCTCCTCTCAGAGATATGTAAACCTGTTGGATCATGGAGTCCTTGGAGAGTCTGATGAGAGTTACAATTCCATTTTCTATGATAAAAATGCCAGCGTCGGCAAGAGCCCCAGCCTTTCTACACAGCCACAGGGGCTTCTGTGTACATTCTGGATTAAGGTTCTACCACATAGCTCACTAGGCTTAATGTTTAGGTGCTCCTTGTTTGGCATCCTGAACGTGGGCTGGGACTGGATTAAGGCAGACTAAGGACTCTAGTCCTGGAATGTTTTTAATATTACAAAGATAAGAACTCTTCCTTTTCCCCAGAGCACATTTGGCTCTTGAGATTCAGGAACCTCAAACACTGTATGAATTCTGTTTCAAGTGCAGAGGGTGGCTTCAATTAACCCCAAGCATCTCAGGAAACAAGGTGAAGGGTTATCTGGGGAGGTGTTTTCAATCAAAAAGACTTGTGTGGGGGGGGGTGAGTTCTTGTTTGTAAGCCTCAATTATGCTGATGTTAATCAAGGTTTTAGGGGTTAAAGGGGCAGCCGTGGATTTTCTTCAACTTGTATAATAAATGTGACTCTCAGTTCTTACTTTTCTCACCATTACTTATTTTTCAAATCACAACTAAATGGTTCAGACTCTCTTGAGGCAGCCCCAAGTTCTTAAAATATTCAGCCTCAGACTTGTGTAGGTGGAAGATTATTAACAAAATCTCAAAACAACAAAAAAAATGGATCACAACAGAACAGGTAGCACTAACAAAGACTCCGGGCGTAAAGCTAGAGAGCAGGTACACAGTGGTTTCATAAATGGCAGTTATTATATTGTCTTCTGGGTCACTAGATCTTCTGTGTGAAAAGCAGAACAGACATTTTGTAAAGTCAGATAGGTAACCCTTTGTATTTCTAGGGAAATAGCTTGGCTAAATTCCAACAAAATATATTTTGAAAATTGGCATGCAACTTTATTTTTAATATTTAGATCTTGATGTAAGTAATGATGATCAGTGATCTTAGTTGAATATATGTATCCATAGTCTATGCTTTAATGTACTGGGATCATTCCTGACTTTGTCTCTCATTTGCTATTAAGCAATCTCTTTTCTCATTGGATTTCATTTCCCTAACTTTAAACCAAAGCTATAATGTCTGTGCCACACCACCATCCCTCTCCCCACAAAATTAAAAGAAATAATATTATACTGGTAGTCATACCTGGTAAAATATGGGTTTGGTCACCAAGTTGCACAGTTTTGCCCCCTTAATGCCTCTCATAGCCATCTCCCCACTTAGCATTTTCATTGACCACACCCAAGTCAAACTAAAAATAACCACTGCCATTGAGTCGATTCTAACTCCCAGTGATGCTTTAATCGGTATTCTTTCTTCAGTGGGACTTACTGTGGAGTTCCTGGGTGGCACAAATGGCTAAACATTTGACTACTCATCAAAAGCAGGAAAGAGTTCACATCCACGCAGGGGAACCTCAAAAGGAAAGCTTGGCTGTCTGCTTCCAGAAGGTCCAAGCTTTGAAAACACTGTGGAAGGAGGTTCTGCTCTGTCCACATGGAGTTACCATGAGCCAGAGTCAATGGCAGCTAGCTTGGGGTGATTTGGGGAGAACGGCAATAGCGTCTGTTCCTGTTACTTTTCTATTTAAAATCCCACCGTGAGTTTCTTCTAATGACCAGAATTTCCAAACCAAAGAAACTAGTTCCAACTTACATTTTCAATAATCATTTAACTCAGCTAAACTCTGTCACTGCCATCGAGTTGATTCCAACTCATAGCGGTCCTAGAGGACAGAGGCGAACTGCCTCTGGGGTTTCTGAGGCGTTTGATCTAATTTCTATCCAGCCTTGATGATCCAGGCTATGTTCTATAGACTACAGAGACTTTATCGAATCTGTTCTTGAGAGGCACAGGACACCCTTCATGGGCCATGCCAGAAGGATTAGATGTGAAAACCCCACTGAGTGAACAGGGATTTACCTCAAATTCACCTGGAGCAGATTTATGGACCTAGCATACTCCCTTGTGCTTAAGGCTGAGTTGCCCTACTGTGAGAAAAAGCAGGTGATTGCTTCTCAAGGCTATCAATTGGTTTGGACTTGCTTTGAGGATGCCCATGAATGATGTCTGGGACTACTGTATATCTGCTATTTTAATGCCCTTCTTGCTTTCTTGTGATATGCATTAGTCTGGTAGACATGATTTGCCCTTTGTTAATGAGTGTTATTGAAAGTTTTGTCCTATCACCACCCCTCATTATTTGTGTAACTGGTGTCTAGTCACTTAAAAGTTTAACTGAACAGGTCAACAATCCATGGATTGCTGTCTGAAGTTGGCCTCTATTATATAACTTACTCTTCTCAATAGTGTTTTAAATTCTGCATCATTGGTGAAATTAATGACACTTTCAATCATATTACCATAATCCCCAAGGGGTGATGTATAATGTTCTCGATCATAAAATAATGATGTCTCTAAAGTGAACCGGAGACACGCCTAAACCAAAGATATATAAGTGGGTTTGGGGCTTGCACTTAATTTTAGACCCAACCTAAGAACAAGCAGTTCTTACGACTTGATACTCACCTTTATGAAGAGATCATTGAAGATATGGGTGCTATAGCAAAGTGTGGAGAAGAAATGAGACAGTGCTCAGCTATCAGAAAAAAACAGCATTTCGAGCAGTCATCTAAGTGACACATCAACTAAGTCCACTGGGATAAAGTAGGCCAGCCTGTGTGATCCAAGGATTATAAATAATAAAATCCAAATCAGAAGGAGGGGGTGATATCAGATCTTGAATTGTTAATACTTGGTTTGCAGAAGGCTGTGGATGACAGCAGAAGCCCCAAATCCATTTGCAAGGTGCACACATAGGCTAAGCCTCCAAGGATGTGAATAGCCTTGCTATTGGACAGAGAATGCTGAACAATCGAGGAGGGCAGATGCAGTTAGGCTAAAATGTAATACCTTATCCTTTGATCTCCCTTTTGACTCATTTTAAAGTTGTTTCAGTTAATATTTTCTACTTTCTTTTCCATCGAGGCTTTCCTGTTTGCTTTGTTGTTGTTGTTGGTTTGCTCCCTGTTTGTGTCTTGTATGCTTCTCTGTGTATTAAATCGAGAACAGGTAAATCCATAGAGACAGTCACTGGAGTGCTGCTTGCCTAGGGGCCCGGCTGGGGAGCAGAGCAGGAATGAAGAGATAACAGTGAGCAGGAGAACAGCATGTTCTGAGATCAATCATGGTGATGATCTTCTCAACATCATCGAGCTGCTAAATGTAATGCCAATAAAACTAAACATTAAAAATAAATAAATAAGTAAAAGGGATGTGAGGAAGGAAAAAAATTCTTCAGGGTAGCAGAAAACCTCATCTTTCTTCCATGGGCCAACTGATGTGTTTGAACTGCCAACCTTGTGGTTAGCAGCACAATTGGTAACGCCACTAGGGCTCCTCAGTGAACGCTTATGATCTGCAACATCACTACCCCTCTTAAAATCCTTCCCTGATTTCTCATTACACTTAGAAAAAAGTTCTGGCTTTC